TTCCTTCCTTCCTTCCTTCCTTCCTTCCTTCCTTCCTTCCTTCCTTCCTTCCTTCCTTCCTTCCTTCTCTCTCCCTCATCCCTCATTCCCTTCCTTCCTTTCTCTTCTTTTCTTTTTACCCTGCCTCTCAACTCCATGAAGTTATCTTCTTCCTCTAGGATGAAGCACTAAAGGCAAGATCTAGGGGTTCATCTTCACCTCTAAATGTGGTGTCTACCTCTGTAGTGAGTGGGTGATAATAACTGCGTAGAGTTAGGAGTGATGGGATCAAAGGAGTTGCAGAGAGAAGCAACAACCTGTCAAAGCTTTGAGTTACTTCAGGGAGGGCATTCACTGATTCATCCATTCTTTGTGTGCTGGGCCCTGTGCTCTTTCCAGCACTTCAGTCGCCGAAAGAATTCTGGACAGGACGGGCTGTGGGTTTTAGACCCAGAATCTTAGCATTGGAACGAATCTTTTACAGATGGAATTCATCAATTTAAGAAGGTCTGAGTGTCAGGCCAGATATTGAGAATACATAAAGCACGAAAATGAGAGAGGTAGAACATGACCAGCCCAGCATCCCAGCCCTGGGTCCCAGTGCCTGCACTAGCGTGTGGGCCTTGCAGCCATATCTGGCCTCATGAGGTGCCCCATCATGGGGTCTCCCCAGAAATGGAACCTAGGAGCTGAGGAAGATTCCTATTTCACTGGCAATGACAAGGACTGGGGGCTTCCTTGGAGGGAGAACTAAAAGATATACTGTTAGTGGAGTTCACAAAACTTAAAAGACTATTTTTAGTTCTTTCAATGAGCCATTTGCTCTAAATTCTAAGTCCTTGCAAACACTATTCTTTACCTCTGCCTTTTTTTTTTTTCCTAACCTCCTTTGTCTAGCTAACTCCTACTTCCCCTTTGGTCTTTAAAGACCTCTTCTCTACTCTGCTCACCCACAGCACCCTGGATTTCCATAGGATAACAGTGGGCCCTTGGAATTATTCTGACTTATCAATTATCTTTCCAATGGACTGTGATCTCTAAGAGGGGAAGACACAGTGGCTGTCTTTTCCTTGTTTGTCTGTTTTTTTTTAAGATTTATTTATTTGTGCATACAGATCTAGAGTACAGGCTAGAGTTGCAGGGGCAGTGAGAGGCTTCACCAGAGACAGAGTGGGGAACAGAAAAGGCAGATCATCCAGATACACTGCTGAGGGGAGCAGCTGGCGTGTCAGGAGAGGTCTGCTGCGCCATGTGGGTCACCTCCGGGGGCAGGCGGGGATCGAACTCATGCTGAAGTGACTTTAGCTTCTAAATGCTGTGCTTTAACCTGATGCGCCATCAGGGAGGGCCCCTTTGTCTATTTGTTTTTAGTAGTGCCTGTCCATTATCTCATTCAGCACTTAGTACACAGTAGGTGCTCAGTGTGCAGCCTTTGAGTGACTGTGATCCATAACCAAAGGCAAGGTCTTCCATAAGTGACTTTCATACAAGTCATTTAACAGCCGCTTATCCAGGATACCTTGAAAAAAGAGTTTTCCAGTCTAGTGGAAGAATTTCTCATTTTTTGTTCTTTAAAATAAGATTTATTGGGCCCTCCCTGGTGGCACAGCGGGTTAAAGCACAGCACAAAGAAGCTTAAACCACTTCCGCATGAGTTCGATCCCCGCCTGCCCCAGAGGTGACCACATGGCGTGGCAGACCTCTCCTGACCCGCCTGCTGCTCCCCTCAGCAGTGTGCTTCGTCGATCTGCCTGTTCTGCACCCCACTCTGTCTCTGGTGAATCCTCTCACCCTCTGCATCTCTGGCCTGTACCCCAGTTCTGTATGAATAAATAAATAAATCTTTAAAAAAATATATAAGATTTATTTTTTGGGTCCTCCCTAGTGGTGCAGTGGGTTGGAGCTCTGCACTGCGAAGCTAAGACAAGGCGTGGCCGCTTCTGTGCGAGTTCGATCCAGCCCCCAGAGATGACCCACGTGGCTCAGCAGACCTCTCCTGTCTTGCCTGCTGCTTCCCTCAGCAGTGTACTTTGTCGATCTACTTGTTCTGCTCCCCACTGTTTTTGGTGAATCCTCTCGCTGCCCTGGCACCTCTGGCCTTTACCCCATTTCTGTATGCATACATAAATAAAATATTTTTTAAAATAAGATTTATTTTTATTTATGTTTGCATACAAGAACTGGGGTGTAAGCGAGATATGTGGGGGATGAGAGGATTCATTAGAGACAGAGTGGGGAGCAGAACAAGAGGATTGACTGAAATACACTGCTGAGGGGAGCAGTGGACAAGACAGGAGAGGTCTGCTGCACCATGTGGGTCAGTTCTCTGGCCAGGGATGGCACTTATGCTGCAGAGCCTGGAGATAGCTTGATAGCTGAAACTTTAACCCTGTGCCACCAGGGAAGCCCTAACAGGGAAATTTCTAATCCAGAACCCACTGTAATAAACAGCGGAATCTCTTGTAACCAGAGAGCCTCCATCCCCTTCTAATTTTCTATTCCCTCTCTACTGACCCATTGATTCTTGGCTACTTGGGCTATATGCCTCCGAGTTCCAGAACACAGAACAACCCAGGCTCTCTGTGGTGCTACACCAAGATTCGAGGCAGCAACCCCAGGGATCTCATGCACAGAACAGATGCATCCACGAGGGCTCTCTGGGCCCCAGAAAAGCAGAATATGCCTCCTCTGGACAGCTCTGAACCACACACCTGAGCTTTTAGCTGTCTTAGAGTTCATTGCAAAATTTCTCAAACTCAACTGGAGAGAAACTTTGTAGGCAAAACTCACATTTACTTCAAGTGTTTGAGATGATGTCTCAAAGTCAGGTATTTGTAAAGGGAAGAGACCTGAGCCCAGAAACCTTGAATCTGACCTTGGTCATTCACCCAATTTCCTAGAGCCTGTTTTGTCATCTGAAGAATATTTTGTCATGAGAAACAAGCAATATAGTGTGTGCCCTCTCAAGGATGCTTTGGAAATGCAGGACAAGGATGCCCTGGAAATTCGGGATAGCTCGAATGTGAGTACCAGAGTCTGGTCATGGGGGGGGGCCTCGCCAGGTAGGGAGGACACACTGGAAACAAACGGTTCCCCTCAGGACCTGCAGGGGGCTTCCTGCAGGTGCAGGCGACTCGGGCAGAGTGCTGAGAGCAGCACTAGGACCCAGCGGCTGAGTCTGGACCCAGCTCAGCGGGTAAGTTCACAGCCAGAACACAATGTTCTCTGTGTACCCACAGGAAACCCTGAAGAGGAGAACTGCACATGGCCCTCTGCTGGGTGTGTTCTGGTCCAGCCTTTCATTCTTTTTCCTAACCTCAGTCCCCACTTTCACATCCTGTAACTTACAGAGCTGCTTGCCCCACCCAGCTGGGCTGGTCCCAGGCCCCAGGAGAGCAATCGATGCAGGAAGTCCATGGCCTCTCTGGCCTTCACTATTTTCAAGTAGGACCGTTTGCCTCTAACCTTGGCTTCCTGAATCGACCCTTTGTGATGGAAACTTTTCACAGTGCGGAAGGCAGACGCTGGGGACAAAGCTGGGTTTCTAGCTGAGGCCAGGGTCTTGGCTCAGACACGGGGGAAACAGCTGATGCCTCTAAACCACCTCCTCCCTTCCTCCCTGAAGGCCAGACCCCACCTGGGATGGGGTGAGGGCCTCCAGGCTGCTGCATAAATCAGAAGGAACTGGGAGCTGCCTGGGGAGCCAGGGCCAACTTTGGAGCAGAACATCCTATGATGTGGTTCCTAGTTTATATTTCCACGAATGCTATAACATGTTGTCCCACGGAGCTATTTTTATTGAATGAAACATTTATAAAAAAGCAAACCTCTGCAAAACCAACAGACCTCTGTTACAGGGAAGGACAAGGTGAACTTTTCACTTCCTTCCCTGCAGCCTATCAAGTCATCTGTGGTTTGGTGTCACCCACGTTGCTATGCTATATTCAAACTCAATTTTTGCCTCCTTGTTTTTTAAAATCACAGGTACAGGATGCTTAAACCCATACTGCTCCAGCAAGTTGCATGAGACTTTCAAGAGAGCCTTAATGAGATCTCACAGCAGCCAGCAAAATGGAGACCTACCAGTCTTCTGACCAAGTATGGTAGCCAGATGCCTGCTTCTAGGCAAAGGTGGGCCCCAAGAAAGTGAACAATGGGAAAGAGTATGTTGATACCAGTACCACCCCATCCTTGTACTGCACTGTGGGGTCTGTGAGGGGCAGGGCCCTGGGTGACACACTCTGTATCTTCGTTAACCAGAGGCCTGCCATTGAAATCAAACCCAGTGCTTGTATTAAGCTCCATTCATAGCCTTCCTCCTCTGGCATTTTAGACTCCCTTCACCTCCACCCCCCAACACATATTGCATGGTAAGAGAAATTTATCATGTCCTCACGGCAGGCCTATGAAGACGTTTGACTGGGGGCCTTCCAGCTTGTAGACACTCAGGAAAAGCAGCAGCCCTGCTGCTGATACTCCTGTGCACATCCGCCCATGCTCAGAGTCCCAGAGGACTTGGGTTCTAGCCTTAGTTATTTTTAGTTTGCTGTATGACCCTGTGCAGGTCACTTTTCTATTTGATGCTTCAATAGCTTCATTTATAAAAGGAGAGAGTTTAGTTAGGTTTCCTGTTATAGATAGAATTAAGACCTGCCTCAAAATTTATATATTGAAGTTTGAACCCTAGTATTTTATTTTTTAATTTTTTTTTTAAAAAAAGATTTATTTATTTGTGCATACAGAGCTGGGGTACAGGCTCAGGGGCGGCGAGAGGCCTCACCAGAGACAGAGCTGGGAACAGAACAGGCAGATAGACGAAGTACACTGCTGAGGGGAGCAGCGGGCGGGTAGGAGAGGTCTGCCACGCCATGTGTTCACCTCCGGGGCAGGCGGGAATCGAATTCATGCGGAAGTGGCCCTAGGTTCTCAGTGCTGTGCTTCAACCCGCTGCGCCACCAGGGAGGGCCCTATTTTTTAATTTTTAAAAAAGATTTTATTTATTTATGCATACAAGAACTGGGGTACAGGCCAGAGGTGTAGGCTGGTAAGAGGATTTACCAGAGACAGAGTGGGGAGCAGAACCCGCAATGGATTGCCTGAAATACACTGCTGAGGGGAGCAGCGGGCAGACAGGGGAGGTCTGCGCCATGTGCATTGCTCCCTAGCCGGGGTCCAACTTGTGTGATCGAATTCATGAATTCTGAGCTGTGCAGCAGTGGCTGCTGATAGCATCACAGTCTGGTGCTTTAATTCCTTGCGCCACCAGGGAGGCCTCTAACCCCAGTATTTAGAGTGTGATGTGATCTTATTTGGAAATAGATCTTGATAGAGTTAATCACATTAAAGTGAGGTCAGTAAGGTGGGCCCTAATCCACTATCATGGTGTCCTTATAAAAATGGGAAATTTGGACACAGAGACCTGAGTAGAGGGGAAATGATGTAAAGAGACATTGGGAGATGATGGTGATCTACAAGTCAACAAAACATTACCTTCCTCAATGTCCAGAAGGAACTAACCATGTTGACATGTTGGTCTTCTTGCCTCCAGATAAGTGAGAAGCTCAGTTTCTGTTGTTTTAGCTACTTAGTCTGTGGTCCACTGTTGTTGTTGTTTTTTTAAGATTTATTTATTTATGCAGAACTGGGGTACAGGCCACAGGTGCAGGGGAGGTGAGAGGATTCACCAGAGACAGAGTGGGGAGCAGAACAGGAAACACACTGCTGAGGGGAACAGCGGGCAAGGCAGGAGGGGTCTGCTGCGCCATGTGGGTCAGCTCCCTGGCCGGGATTGAACTCATGCTCAAGGGTCTGCAGCTAGCTTTGTGGTGGCTTTGTGCTTTAACATGTTGTGCCACCAGGGAGGGCCTGGCCCGCTGTTATTATAGCCTTAGTAGGCTGTTATGGCAGCCTTAGTCTAATCTAAAACAGTTGCTAAGGTCCCTTTTCATTATCAGGCTACAGGATTTTTTACTGCCATCCCTGGATGAGTGCTTCTGTCCCACATGGCCTGTTACCCTCTCCCAGTGAGTAAATGACATCATTTGTGTGAAGTGTCTAGCACAATGTCCCAAGATAGTAGCACCTCACCATATACTAACTATGGTGAATATTCTTAGGGTTACTAGTGTCTGGATACTACTTCACTTACCCTGATGCCCTCTGTGCCAAAATGAGAATTGTGAGTTCTCAGCCAGTCACTCTTCAATTACACATGGCTTCATTATTGAAATCTTTCTTACCCCCCACCCCCCAGCAGCCTTTAAATCTAAGGGAATTAAATTGGCACCTTCCAGGAGTCTGACTCTAATGGAAAGCTCATTTTGGCCACAGAGCCAGCAAAACTCTAAAAAGACTGCAAGAGCTCAGACCTTGGGATGTGATGATCCCCAGCATTACAGAGCCTCAAAATGCTGAGATTAAACCTGTTTTCCTATTTGCCCAATGAAGACACCCCTTGGTTGGCAGTAAGTATACTGGATAAGGCTTAACTACAGGTGGGGTCAGAGTTTGTGCCTCCAGACAACAAGGCGCTGCCTTTTGCCTTGAGCATCCACCTGGCTTCTGCTTCTCTTTGAGCTCTCAGAATGAATACTCTTCTGTACTGCCTTGGGACCATGTCCTGCTTTCTTTCTGGCTCCTGAGTCCCTCGGTCTCTGGAGGCCATAGCATCTGGAACTCCAGCTGCAATGTTAGGCCATCTAGGAGAGCCTGACTTTCCTCTTAGTGTCAGCAGGGCACTCTATCCCTGAGGCAGGAGGTGGGATCATAAGATGAGCCTTCTCTGGGCAGTGATGCTGGTCTGGGGTAGGTTGTCTCCAGTATGTTTGAGAGCTAAGTTGCTCTGACCGTGTAGATTATTCCATACTTACTGGATTTTGGAGACTTTCCAGAAAGTTAAGTGGGCAGAGACTTACTTTAACAGCTCCCAAACATGACCTTTAGGTTTGCTAAACAAATGAAATCTCTGTGATTGTGTGGTTTATCTTCAAATATATGCCTGGAGATTTCTGAGAATAAGGATGGGGGGAAGGGTTATGGAGTTTACTTCAAGCTTTCAGGGCCAGGGCAAGGAGAAACCATTTTGGGGGAAAAACATCTCTCCACAATGTCCATACACTTTAAACTTGATCACTTCATGCTGCCTCTTATCCTTGGCTCAGAGCCCAGAAGGGAGGCTCCTTCAATAATTCTCTCTGAGCTTAGGACATCTGCTTTTCCCTAAAAATAAGTAAATAAATACAAATCTGTAAATGCTTAGTTTCTAGTCAGAGAGAGCAAAAACATTGTTCACCACCTAGTGGCCTGCAAAGATCACATCAGATATATTAACCCCTCCAGGCCCTCAGGAGTCTGCATTCTGAGATATTTATTTACCATGACCATCTGGAATAGTGGTCTTTTCCTTAGGCTAACCTTGACTGTGGTCGAGATATTCTCTTTGGGTGGAAAATGGAGCACTGTGAATGAGGCTCAAGAAAATCTGGTTCTTGCTTCCTTCTGAAAGATCTTACCATTCTCCTGTTTATACCCGTTGCTCCACCCACTCCAAATATTTTTGAGTTCTACAGATGTGGGCCTGCCTTTGCACATGCTGTTCTCTGTCCTTGAAAAGCTTATTTGGCATTTCTCCTGTTTTGGTTGGTTACTTCGCACTTGCCGGTTGTGTTCAGGCACAGGCTCAGACTTTTTGCAAAATTTCCTTGTCATTCCCTCATCATTTCTACCTGAAAGCCCTCCTGACTTCCATGGCCCCCTATCTAGACAACAGCCATGACTCATGGCACGGTAGCTCTCCTATATGTCTGTTTACCTCTGCTTTTTCCATGGGCCCAAGTGGTTTCCAAACTTGGCTACAGGAGAGTCCCATGAGAGCCCCACACTTAGACCTACTGGGCTCCAGAAATGAGGCCAGGTTGTCTGTACTTTTAAGCTTGATCTGAGGCATAGCCAGGTTTACAATTGCCCTATGTTTCTCTACATATTACCAGAGGCATAGTAGGTCTGCAGTAAATGTTTGACCTTTCTAATTTCTCTCCAGTAACCTTGTTTTCACTTCCTTCCTTCACTAACCCAGACCAATAATTTGCTTACCCTTTTGCCCTTACCATGCAAAACTGTAACCACTAACTATCATTTTTTTTTCCATTCCCACTGAGGCTGCCAGGACCTGTTGATGTACTTCCCTAGGGTGGTGCCACTGTTAATTCAGGGACTCTAACTGCAACAGGTCAGAGTGTGCTTGGCAACCTTCTGGGCAGCTCTCTCCCATTCTTTGCAGGGGTTCTTCTGGACTCCCACGGTTCCCACTTTCTCTTGCCCCTTAGCACAGGTAGTGGATTAATTCTCCTTCACGAGAAAACAAGCTATTGGTTGGGAACTCCCTCAACTTCACAACTGCCTCCTCACCTACATATTTACCCACTCAGCACTGTTGTTTTTTTTTTTCTCCGCTCTCTCTCTCCTTTCCTTCTAAGACTAATCACTCCAACTGAGCCCTGTATCCAATTCCTTCCCACATCCTCAGGGACCTTACACCCTTTCTTTTTGACCTCTCCTATCATAAAGGAAAAAAATCCCTCATAATGGACCTCATCCTCTCCCTCATTTTTGGTGTCCTCTTCCCATTGAAGTGTTCCTAGATTTGGCCACCTTTTCACCTTCCCACACAGTCTGGATCTACTACTGAGATGTCTGGTTTTTAGACAAGGTCACCAACAGTCTTCTTAGTAGTATCCAAAGGCCTTCTCCCACCTTTATCTCACTCATGGTTTGGCAAGACTAGCTACTACCGATTCAGCCTCCTTGGTCCTTATGGTGCCATAGTCCTGGTTTTCTAACTCTCTCTGGTGACCGCTTGCCTGTTGTTTCCTTGAACTCTTTCTCCTGGGTCTGTCCCTTACATGTCAGGGTTCCCCAGCACTATGCCTTGATCTAATTCTATTTTCACTTCAAAAGCTCTCTCCCTGGGTGATTCCACCATCACCTCCACCTTTGGCTTCTTAGGTTTCTTCAGGCTAATGAGTCCCAAATCTATCTCAGTTCAGTTCATTCTCCTGAGCTAGAGACTGATAGGGCCACTGCCTATTGGACATGTTCTAGGCCTGCTCCCCTTTCTGTAACCTTACATCAGTGAATGGTATCATTAGTCCCGCAGCTCCTGGCACAAGGAAGCTGGCTGTCCTCCCTCAATTCTGTGTGACCAATCACTAAGTCCTATATATATCAATATTTGAGTAACCCTCAAATCAAATTGATTCTTGTCTCCAGATCTTTAATTCAGGTTGTAGTCAACTCCCACCTGGATTTCCACAACAGCTTCCTAAAGAATCTCAATCTTATTGTCTCCTGACCCCTCCAAAGGAAATTTTGGAAGTGAAACCAGGTCTTGTCATTCCCCTACTTCAAACCCTTTAAAAACTCCTCATTGTCCTTTAATTGAAGTTCATATTCCTTAGTAAAGCCCATCAGGGCCAGTTGCCTGTCTCTTGTCTCTTCTCTTGCTTTATATTCTATGAACCAGCCATGACAAAGCACCTTCAGCCCCACAGAAGCTTGATGCCCTTTCTCACTCTTGAACTTTTGCATATTTTATTCCCTCCACTTAGAAAGTACTTTTCTTCTTCCCCTCCTCCGGCATCCTCTTCCCCCCCACCCCCGCATTGGTTCTACAGGTCTCAACCTCAACATCACCATCTAGGAAGCATTCTCTGATCAATCCCATGTTCAACTGGACTAGCTATCTCTGATTTACAGTATTGCTTTCTCCTGTTTTTACACTTAATATTTACCCCTTTGCCTTTCAACATAAATGCCAGGTTGGTATTTTTATTTTTATTTTTTTTAATGCAAACAACTAGGGTATAGGCCAGAGGTGTGGGGATGTGAGAGGATTCACCAGACAGAGTGGGAAGCAGAACAGACAGATCAGATCCACTGAAATACACTGCTGAGGAGAGCAGCAGGCGAGACAGGAGAGGTCTGCCACACCATGTGGGTCACCTCCCTGGCCAGGTCACACTCCTATGCTACAGTGGCTGAGGAGAGCCTCACAGTGCTGTGCTTCAACCCACTGCACCACCGGGGAGGATCCCACTCATGTGTTTTTGTGTCCTGGACTGTTGGTTCTTTGGAGTGAATTCTAAGAAGTAGAACATGTAGTTTAGAAAATGTAAACTTTAAATTTTTTCATAGCTTATTCCATATCTTTTGAAAATCAACTTTCTTGAGTTATAATTTATATATAATATACCCATCTTAAGAATATACTTTGATGAACTTGAAGAACATGTATGTCAGTGTAAAACGCATCACAAACGAGATGTAGAGAGCACAGGGATGAGATCTGGGTTATGATGTTCTGCTCACTCCCTATCTCTACTTCCTTTAGGCCTACTCTATGTGAAATCTGCCCTGGAAATTGCTAGTACAGCTTCTAAAACAGGGTAAACATACACCAGATTCTTATTTTTATTCACTCAGTAAGTACCTATAGCACCCCTACTATGTATCAGTCTATGTTCTACATACTGAGCATGTGCCTGTGAATGAGAGAGACGGGGTCTTGACTTCCAATCTATAAACTCTGGAACCAGATGATCTCTAAAATTCTGAGATTTGCTCTTTGATGGAGGTGCAAATAAACAAGGCTAGTGACTAAACATCAAATTCCTGTTTCTTTCCATTCTCCTCCTTTCTTGGTGCTATCTCCATCCCCAACTCAGCTCTGGGAAACAGGAAAAGATGTGGTATCATCTGTCTGTAACCCAAGATTCAATATCCCCAGGTATTTTTTTTTTAAAAGATTATTTATGCATACAGAACTGGGGTACAAGCCAGAGGTGCAGGGGTGGTGAGAGGATTCACCAGAGACAGAGTGGAGAGCAGAACAGACATCCACTGTTGAGGGGAGCAGCGGAGCAGTGGGTGGGCCAGGAGAGGTCTGCCATGCCATCTGGGTCACCTTCCTGGCTGGGAATCGAACTCACGCTGAAGCTGCTGTGGCTAGCTTCGTAGTGCTATGCTTCAACATGTTGCGCCACCAGGGTAGGTCCCCAAGTATTTGTTATTTATGCCTTTGTTTCTTTTTGTGGAAGGAGGCTTAGTCAGAACCTCAGGCAATTTACAAGATATGGCAAAACAGCCAGTTAGGTATACTTTGGCAAAAGGGCAGTGAGGCAGAGCGATCTTTTCCTTCAAGTGTGATATCTCTTAGGTGTGCTTGAAAAGCGTCATGTCCATGGGCAGGTTCCTATTCCTTCTGGATGATGGGTTATCTCCTAGTCCCATCTCTCTTTTTAACCTCTTACTTGATGTAAATGTCAAAGTTTCTGCCATTGCAATGTCTGCTGTAATGGTTTGGTACAGGGATTCTATGTCAACCATGAAAAGGAAGGGAAACTGTCAATTATGAGGTCCTTGAATCAGGAATTTGATTTAGAGTTTAACATATTTGTGTGTTTCAGTGAAAACTCAGGACTGTAATGCAGATCATCAATAATTAAGTGTAAAATTTTTGTTTGATTATGTAAAAATCAACTTTATTAAGGATTACTATTTATATCTCATTAGCATGAGACAAGTTATATAGAATATTATCATGAACTTTTTTTATTAGCAGCAAATTCTGCCTTCAGATTTTTTAAAATAAGGTGAAAAATAAGACAGATTTGAAAAACCTAGTTTCTTTTCCTATTGACTATAACCTTGATGCCGAACCTCTGTGCCTATTCCTCAACTTACAATGCTATCCTCGTTTATCTAATGATTGATGTGACAACCCTGTGAATTGAAATGCTTGTGAAAATGCTTTGGAAACTGCAAGCATTTTATGCACAGAATACAGTTACCATCAGTGTTCTTAGGATTGCTGTGTGGTCCTGATCACTAGTTTGCATCTGCATTCTTGCACTGCTTCTTGCTTACTCATATGTCCCGTAAGCACCCAACAATACTGTCACCAATGTGGTTTTTAAAAAATTATGCATACACACACATTAATACATAGTTAATTCCTATCAGTCCTAAAGAGGAGGCTGTTTGTTCATTGTGCTTGAGAACCTTACCATCAAGCACTGGGAGGATGAAGGTAGTTAATTAATTTTATCATTTTTTAAAAGGTTTATTTATTTATTCATTTATTTATAGAAGAACAGGTGTGTAGGCCAGAGATGTGGGCAGTGAGAGGTTTCACCAGTGACAGAGTGGGAAGCAGAACAGACAGATCTACTGAAATACAATGCTAAGGAGAGTAGCGGGCAAGACAGGAGAGGTCTGCTGCATTATATGTGGGTTACCTCCCTGACTGGGGATCAAACTCAAGCCGCAGCAGAGAGAGTAGCACAGAGACTTACCTCCTATGCCACTAGGGAGGCCCAATTCATTTTATTATTATTTTGTTTTTTTAAAGGTTTTAGGATTCTGCTTTATTTAAGGTACTGGGTTTAGTTCAGTGGGATAAAAATAATCTCTGCTTTGGAGCTTGGCAGATTTTGAGTTTAAATCCAGACTTAGCCATTTATTTAACTATGAAGCCTTGACAAGTAATGCTTGCTCTGAGCTTCAAGTTCCTCTTCTGTATTAGGGATATTACATATGTCACAGCATTACTGACAGGATAATTAATGCCTGTGAGTGACATATAATTAAGTGCACAGGAGATGATAGATGAGCAACAAGGTCCATCTTCAAGCCTAAAGCTTGGTAATAAGAGTTATGGATGATGAGACATAATGATAAACAAAAAGATACAGAGATGGAGCAGAAATCCTAAAAAAGATAGTGAGTGACTTGTTCTGGCAAAACTTAAGGAAGCAGCTAATAATCATGGTGAGATTTACTTCAGAAAGCATTTCTGTTCAACCCTAGGATGTCTTCAATTCTAAGGTCATAAAGAGAAATGTCCAACTTAGAGAAAAAAAAATCTATAATGAATTCAATACCCAAGGGGAAAGATGCAGTAATATAGTATCTATGTTGTATAGTTATACAAATGAAACAAAAGAAAGTTAGTGATTACTGTGGACCATCACTGAAAATTTGGTTTATTGTTATCCAGTTCTTTTTAATTTTTCCTTTGATGATCATTAAGAGGGTTAATACCAAAAAATATACATTAGGAATCTCAATGACTTTCAAATATGGAACTTGTTTAGTAGGAGAAGTATTAATATGGCACAGGTGAGTCTGGGCTCATCTTTATGTTCTGATTTGCTTTAGAGTCAAGAATATAGTAAGTTGAATCAACAATCAGCTGAATTTTATTCTAAAGTCCAAGATTTTCCTCTGCCTGGGCTATGTGACCATGAGTAGGCCTTTATTTTCCATGTGCTCTGATTCTTTACCAATACAATGAGGTCATCACCTCCCTCTCAGGCAGTACGTGTTAAATATTTTGAACTCCTAAGATTAAGGCCAATTGCTGCTGGGATTATATTTATTTATAATTAAGCAACTCTAAGCAGGTCAGGTGCAAGTTATTAATGAGGAGAAAGGCAAATGTTGTCTGAGGCAAAATTTGCAGACTAGCTAATAAATGATTCTCCCAACTGCAGTGTGGACCCATGAGGGAGGACAAAGGACAATTCTTAGCTGTCCAGGTTTTTCCCTATCATGGTATTAAACCTACTCAAATATTGATACGATAAATTCATATACTTCTGTAATGATAAATACCCCTGAGGAAAAGCAAATCTACCATTTGCTTAGGAGAAATGGCTTTTAGATTCTGTTCTTATAAAAAGTAATTTGACCTCTTCCTTCTACCCTAAATCCCTGAGACTTTGAAAGGATAAAGAAACCAATTTGGAGCTCTTTCAAAGGATTTATTTGCTACAGAATTGCTTGAGCCCACCAAAGAGACTCAGGATTTCTGTGTTTAAAAGGATTTTGCCCACTGCTTTATTTTCACAAGTGCTTCAACATTCAAAAAGCAATTCCTTTTTCCCTGTACCTGGCATGTTTAGAACAGGTTAGAAAAAGTTATAATCTATAGAATTAGATATCTTGAAATAGAAAGAACCCCTACCCCTAAACATTAAAAAATTCCTCATTTGAAAAGGTACTGAGTTGAAATCCCATTCATCTGCAAAAAGAACTTTTTTCAGGTCAGAAATCCTGTATTTTACAACTCTAAGTGCTGACCTTGGACTTGAATGGTGAGGATTCAAGACACTGAATGAGTAACAGGAGAGATGCCATTCAGTTGGTCAATTCTGGCATGTGTTTTACGTGGCATGTGAAGTTTTGTAAATATCTCATAACCTCCACTCCTGGTTCCTGAAGTCAATTGTCCTAATCTGATTCTCGTATTTAAAAAATAAATTAACAAAAATTTCCCCTGGGAGAGCACACATTTAAATATTTGTTGCTTGTGGGTAGGTACAGAGAAACCAAGTATGAATTAACAATTCAATGATGGAGCTGTCACTCTCTGGATGGCTATGAAAGCAGTAAGAAAAGTCCTTTGTTGGCCTTGCAACTTGCTTGTGCACCAGAAGTACCCATCTAGGCAAGGTCAACCAGAAGAGGGTGTGAACCCCAGCAGCTGCTCAATGGGTTTAAACCGCCACTCATCTGCCTCCAGCTCTTCTACCAAACCAGCTAGTTTTTCCATCCGTGCAACTTGCTGATCTGTAAAGAGTCAAAGAGGTAATGTATAATACAACAATGAATTTGCCTTGAGATAGTTTCTAATCACCAACATGCCGATGCGTCTGAAAATTAATGGGGGCTTACTCTGTTGGTCAGAAAACTTAATCTTAAAATAAAATAATACTTATCTTTCATATCATATGAAATGATTAGAATCCTAGGGAGAAAGGAAATTGTAGTTTCCCCTCTAACATTATGCTTTCAGTGGAGAAATGGTCTGATGAGGGAACATAGTTCCCTGATACATAAATGAAGGCATGTTGGAACAGGAAAGGTACCTCTAGTGCAGGCTTCTTGGACTCCACATAGACCATGAGGTATACATAAATACTTGAAGATTAAAGTACTAACCAGTGGAGGCCAACAGTAAAAGGTTTTAGAAAAGAGAGGAAAAGGCAACATAAGAGAAGTAGGAAGCATCAGTCTCTAGAAAACTAAACTCCTTTTGACTTCAACTATAAGCCTGAACATGGATATTATATCTGAATTAAGACCATGGAATGTTCCGGTCTGTAGGTAACTCAGAAAGCTCACTTAAACAGCCTTGCTGGGTTTCAGGAGTTTTTGTCAAGGTGCACACTGACCTTTCTGGATTCCTCTCCCACCCCTCCCTAAATTTATTCTCATAGTTAAGTCCACAATGCCCAATGCCCATGAGCTTACCATGTTTCACCTGTTTAAGTGTAGATGCTACTTGATAGCTGAAAACGGATTCACAGAGGAATCTCTCAGAGCCATCTACAAACAGAAGAGGAAAAGTTTTAATCTGTCCTAAGGATTTTATGGCTTCTGATAAACCAAGTAAACATATTCATTCTTTTCCTTGTTTTTACAACTGGGGTCTAGTTTTCAGTGTTTACAAAGAGGGCTTCTGTTTGGTTTAGAACTAATACTGCTCTGTTATAGAAGCTAGTTCTTCTATACCTAGAATATTAAAATAGCACTTTTACTTGTTTAAAAGTTTAAAAATAGTGTTTAAAAAAACAAAAACAAGAAACCTCAGTCTAATGTCCTGAACATTTCCCTCCCCACCAAACCTGATAGTTTCTTAATGTTCTTCTATTCTGCACGTCAGGCAAACACTGACAGCTGACACATTTGTTCACATGACCTCTGTGTGATCAAAATACAAAGGAACAAAATATTTTCATTTTCATTCTCAAGTAAAGTTGAGGGAAAAGTAGCTGCTGCAGATTTTAATATATCAAATTACATCATGTATGACCATCACAAAACACTGCTGGGAAATTTTTCATTTTGTAAACGCAAATTGCAACCTTGATTTTCCAAGTGAACCAAAACACTGCAATTTGGATGGTGATAAGAGTATGGTGCAATTTCTGAATCTAGCATTGTACCATTGCCAAGAACTGGCAGCAAGAAGGTAGCTAACTCAGTCACCAGAGCTCTTGGAAGATGATTGTGAAACATAAGCTGGTTCATGTTATTTCTTGTCAGGCAAGGCTGATACAGCAGAATGTACCCCAAAAGACCAAAAGGTCAGACAGGAAAATGTGATGTTTTAGAAGGGCTGTGGAAACCATTTGGGGATAGTTATCTTATTGCAAAAATCCTAAGACAAACAGAGGTAGGGGACACAGCTGTCTTTTTTTAGGTGATAGTTTGTGACAGTATTACTAGGTGTCAAACACTCAACTATCAATCACAGGTTGGTGTGTCAGCCAAGTATCAAATGTCAATGAAATAAACACATGCTGAATTTTACACATGGCCGATTTCAGAAGCAGGTAACAAAAACCAAAACAAAAACCAAAATATATTGTAATCAAATGGCTAAACTGTAAAACCAAGGAGGCTTCTGTATAGTCAAAATTGATGCCAAGAAGTTAAAAAAATATATTGTGATATACACTTTAGGGAAAGTTACATTTTTTCAGTTCAGCACTTTTTCTATGTATTATGCTTTATGGGATATGATTTAACCTCTTCCTTCCAAACCCATTCCTGTGCCTGAATCTAAGTCATTTGCCAACATTCATTCTTATTCCTATCCCTGCTTAAGAGTCAAATTATAACTCCTGTTTTATTTCAGAAAGAGCAAAGCACAGAGAATTAGAGCTTACTTTTCAGGAGGTTTGATCCTAAACTTCAGGATCTCACACACAGCAGCAGGGATTATGGGCTACAAGGATCAGGCAATGATGTATTTGGAAGCTCTTGGCAGTGCTACCACCCACTTACATTTAATCACAGGTGCTATTAGGATAAAATGCTTAAGTTATTAGCATTTGCATATTTCCTTGCTAGTGAACTTCAAAGCAAAAGCACATAAGCTTATCTTTCAAAAAGGCACCTGCATATCACTTTGCCACTTTGTATACCTATGAACACACTTTTGCTGATTTGCAGTTCTGTGTTAACCACAAAGTTCACTGCTTCTTAGCCACATCCTATTCTATGTGATATCTGTGCCAATCTAAAGCCTGGAGTTTCTCCAGAGAGAAATGAGCCTAGGGCAATCTGTCTACCACTTAGGAATTGTAATCAACCCTTTGTAGCAACACATCAGCTCTCCTCTTAAGGGACAAGCAAAGGTTATAGTGACAAATTCAACAAATTGCCCAAATCTAATACCATTCCCAATGCCAGTAAGCAGGATGCTAACAAAATCGTTTAAAAGAATATTACCTCACAGCAGGAAATTAAACAATGCCAGATACTTTATACTTCAGTGGCCTCCAATGTCACTAAAATTCAGCCTCTTCTGGGCTGGAAGGCAGTCTCTAATCTGCTCACTAATAACTAGGTTAGGACAATCTTAGCCAAGGGCAGGTGAACATAGAAAAGTGCAGGATACTGGTTATGTGAGGTGTCTGTTATCAGAAAGCAGATGAGAGAAAAAGTTAACTCACAAGGTTAACTGCAGGTTTTTTGGGTTTATTATCCTTGACTTTGGCGCTTACAAGATCAAGTTGAATCTGTTAAGATTCATCCAATCTTGACTTAGGATTGCTTTTGTTTTTTATTATGAACAGGCAACTCTTCTATTTTCATGTTCTATTATGTTACTGTAAGAAAAATGTGAAAGTACATATGCATTAGATTAACTGCATAATAGCCTCATCTATAAAGAAGGCAAATGAAGATGCTTCCAAATCTAATATCCTTATTAACTAACGTTTAGGAATGCTCTTTTCAATTAACATTCTTAATTAAGTCAGATGGCAGTTCAGAAATTCTCATCTTTAATTTTTAATAGTCTGTTCTTAAGAGTAAGCTTTTAAGACATAGGCGAACCTTTAAACCTAAAATAATCAGAACAGTGCAATGTGAGTTTAGACAAAATATTTAAATTCATCTTACAATACAAAGTCAACACTTTCCACCATGAAGCCAACTGGGATGGGATGAAAATGGATAGAACTCTAATTTGTTAGAATATTAACATTTAGAATTACCTCAGAAGCCTTTCTTCTCTAAACCTTCTAAATAATCTGCTATATGCTGACCAAAGAATACTGATAGCTTTGAGACTAGCAGGTTCCTCCTGTATTAAATGCCTCTTGTAGTTAAAATTTAAATGACTTCAATCTGAAAGTCCTTTGTTAAGCTTTATCCCTCTGCTGCTACTATAAAACTCATTAAACAATTTAAGTTACTCCAACTTTTGATTTGTTCTATGGGAAACTTCCTTAATAACATGTTTATGCTGCATATAAGTGAAATAACACTCAATAATACCAACTTGACAATTCAGGTAACAGCTGAAGAAATGAAAATGGCAAAGGCAGAAGTACATGTACCTCAAAGGTATCACTTACACTGATCATCTACTTCACATCATGATTTGACCAATTTTATGTACTTATGGTCCAAGTCTTCCCAAGTATTCCTGTACAAATGATTTTGCTACTTGCGTAGCCTTAATCAACTCTTTTTACTACTTCTGATATAAAAAAGTCAACTCCTGAACTATAGTTTGTGCCTTTCTGAGACACATTTCCAATTTAATTTTAAAATATGCTTACTGAAATTTGCAACATATAAAACAGAAAAGATCAACATATAATTAAGCACAAAAGTGCCATAAGCATGTAGATTCTGAATCTTTAATAGGTTCTTTGCAGACTGTTATCAAACTATGATGAATAATTTGATAGTTAAGGACCACTTTTATGACAATCCCACAACATAAAATGACATTTTGTGCTGCATCCTAGACTGATTCAGAATCTCTCAGGTGGAACAGAAATGTACATTTTAAGTAAACTCTTCAGGTGATTTTTATGTTTCTTGTAAGAATTTATTGGTTTAGCTCCTATGGAGACATGAATATGGTGAATTCCAAGTACCAGTGTTGTTTCATGCTTATAACCTGACCTGTGCCCTGGTCTTGGCAAGCCAGTTCACAGATGAGCGCTAAATAAGATGGTGGATGATCTGAGGCAAATCCAGCTTCAGTACTGAAAAACTACACAGCACTATTCTACTGTGAGTCATCTTCCCTATCCCTATTTCCTCTTAAAACCTCTCTGATGAGGTTAAACTAGCTATAGATTAATTACATTATGAAAAACACATCAAACCCACTTACCCTAAGGAGCAAGGCTAGGGTCAGGGTACAGCAAGAGGTCAAGAAAATTTCTGATGCTAGTGCTGACTTTGTCTTTATTTAACATTGTCTCATCACGTTAGCTTCTCTGATTTAAAGAACTTTAGATGACCTCCTTGATTTCTAGTCTCTTTTGGCTCTAACATTATGATTCTGGGGGAAAGATTTGTGTTTTTAGATGTTATTTTGAAATGGGGACAAGAGATGAAATGTGGAGCTGAAGTAAGGGCAAATGTATCTTTAATCCACTTAAAAGCTTTTTTTATAATTAATATTCACTGCAGGTCTGAATCCAATTATTCAGCAAAAAGCAGCATGAGATCACCTTCTAACATCTCTCCAGCTCCTTTGGGGTAGGTGAAGAGGGCTTTCCGTGGTGGAGCAAGGTCTGAGACACTGAAACCAGATCCAGTGACAGAACTTCCACTGACTCCACCAGCTGAAGATGAGGATGAAGAGGCAGCCATTTCCTCTCTAGTAGAATTCTCACTTCACTACAGAGAAAGAGAACAGCAATTGGCAAGTTTATGGAGGTGAGATTGACATTTTGGTCTGGCTGCCGTGACAGCCAGCATATAGTTTAATAAAAAATTAGACCCCTTTTTTCCTACCCTTGAGACTCTCACAATCCCAAAAGTCACTCAGGATTTTCAATGAAAATGTTTAAGAATTGTTTTTCTGTTTAAAACACTACTTTCTACTTAGCAAACTGTTTATTTCATTTGGGACTATCTGTAGGTGATTTATGGAATACATAAGGATGATACAGCGGTGTCACCGTATTAATCTGACCAAGAAAATAAATTATATACAGGATAAAACAACCAAGCCTCATGGGACAGTTTGCCTTGGATATATCCGGACAAGTCACACCAAGAAATTCACTTATGAAATTTTCCAAATAGAATTCCAGAATAACACTGTGTTCTGTTCCCAAGGAAGGGGCATTTGTTAGGAAATATATATTGACCCTTTCATTAAAAATTAAAACAGAAAAACAAACCTTTCATCTAAATGTAATACCCAAACCGATCACTTGGTGGCATCCCAAAACTGGAAAAAAAAAAAAAAAAACCAGCTCAGAAAATGATCTTGGAATGCAAGGCCTATTAGGAATACAGATAGCTGTTTAATCCTATGGCACAGCAAAAAATCAGAAAGTACAAATGTAAATCTGTACGTGAATACATAACTAATTACAAAATTTTAGAACAAAACTACTTCTCCCACAGAAGCTTACACCATACATTACAAAAGATTCTAAAAAGTGTGTTTTCTGCAAAGTCTCACAGAACTTAGTCACTATGGAAATGTACTAATTTTCTTTTCTTTTCTTTCTTTCTTTTTTACATTGTAAAAGGGCAGGTTTATTAGGTAAAGAAGAAAGGAAAGAAGAAAGGCACCTGTATAATTACAGCCAGGCAGGAAAGCTGCTGAAATGTAGAGATTTTCTACCTGCACTATCCAATTTGGTAGCCATTAGCTTTATGCAGTTATTAAATCAGTGCAACTGAAGAACTGTATATATATATATATATATTTTTTTTAAGATATATTGATTGCAGTCAGTCAGATTGATAAATACTGTGGTGTAGGCCAGAGGTGTGGTGGTGAGAAGATTCACCAGCGACAGAATGGGGAACAGAACAGGCAGATCCATAGAAATACATTGCTGAGGGGAGTAGAGGGGGAGACAGGAGAGGTCTGAGGTGCCATGTGGGCTTGCCCCTTGGCTGTGGATCAGGCTGGTTCTTCAGTGGCTGCAGATCGCTTCATAGTGCTGAGACAACTCCTTGCACCACCAGGGAAGCCCTAAATTTTATTTACTGTAAGCTGAAATTTAAATAGCTTCATTTAGCTAATGGTACTGGATTGGATAGCGTAGCCCTAGTACTTAGACTAAAAAATGACCTTATACTAAATTGTACACCTTAAAAGGATTAATTCTATGTTATGTAACTTTAAAAATAAAAGAAATGATAACCATAAAGGGACTTTTTAAATGAATATTCCTATTTAATATTCAGAATTTTCAATTAAAATTTTTTCATTTGTTACAAAAAGTTATAATTTATTTCTGGGGAAAAAAAAGAAAATAATAAAAGAGTTATGCAGATATAAATCCTATGTATACAGAATCCAATTACCTAGAAAGGAAAATGATAAACTGCAATTCTGAAATGCTGATTATTGTTTCCTTGATTTTGTGATGAAGAATTAAGATTGTGAGGGAAGCAGAGTTTAGTTTCTGATTTCATTATATGTCTACAATACTGTTCAGTACTGAAATGGGATAAGGGAACAGTAAGGCAGTTGCTATAATTAGAATGTCAACCTGTTTAAAATGTAAATTTGATTAATGGCATTTTCAATCTTGCTGTGAGCTCACTTTTCCTTTTCTTTTGTTCTTTGAGCTCAATAATTTTCTAAATAGTATTCATATTTGTACAGGCAAAAATGTTTCAAGTTAGATTCATACTCAATCCATTGGATCACACTAGCTCAAAATACAGTTTGACAAGTTTTTAAATGCTCTTTATTTCTTTATTTTAAAAATGCTCTTTATAAAGAACTTAAACAGCATGGACCAGGTCCAAATTTCTCGGTGTCTTCTTGGTAGGTTTTAAATAAGGTATTCAGGTAATATAGCCATCTTTTGGAGAGTAGCTCAGTCTGAGTTCACGTCAATTTAGCATAAGCCTACTGTGAAATGTTTACACATCTTACCTAAGACTTAAAACTGTAATACATTTCCTATATGTTGATAAATGCTCTATTAAGTTGCAAATGCAAAGGATACTTTATATATTTTGAAATCAAGTGCTTGGCAGAGCACTCAACCAACCTGTAGTGTGAGGACAGCTTTGAAGTTAGACTAGCTAGGCTTCTAAAATGAACATAATCAAAAGAATCCCTCTCATCCTATTTTCTTTCAAATTCAGAACTTCCTTTACTCAACACACAAATCAACCAGGGTTCAAAACTAAAGGCCAGAATTAGCACAAAACTAACTTTAACATAAACAATTTTAGGGTAGGGTGGAAAGATGTACCTAAGTAATTTCTAGCTTTAAATATTTATGTATTGAATGTTAAATTTTGAATGGTACCAGTAAGTTAAAGTGAAACCAACAATAAACTCTAGTCTTCAACATCTCTATGAAGGCAGGCATTCAGATCACTGGAGTCAAATACAATGCCTGACCTACATACTAAGTAGCTGTTGATTTAAATTAATGTTTGCTAAATGAGGGAAGCATTTCACAGGAACCATAAGATTTCTTAAAGGTGTAGAGAGACTAATTTCAAGCAGTGGCTTTCTTGGCATGTCATATGCCGTGAGAATGGTCAAACAGTGTGTTTAAGAGCCCAGATTATGAAGTCTCTTGGTCTGGGTTCATATCCTAGTTTTGCCACTTATAGGATTTTAGACAATCACTTAATTTCTGTCATTCAGGTACCTTATCTCTAATAGCACCTATCATAGATACCATGAAGGTTAATATACTAAAGCATTTGGAACAGTTTCTGGTACAATAAACATTAGCTATCTAAAATCACTAATGAATATTTACTCCTGATTTTTCCCCCCTATGTAGGTCCCAGTTGTTCATACTTATTATGTCCCAACACACTGAATCATGGGAAAAGTTCTCTTCATTTGATACAGAGTCAGCAAGATCCTAGAGGGGTAATGGCTTGCTCAAAAAGGGAAACGCCTTCCATTAATACACTTCACACTTTCATTTTAAGATAAGTAATCTTAGGAAGACTCCTCTTAGATAGGAAGTGAAGTTGTTTGCCCCCACTTCCCCCACGGTCTAAGGGATTATCCATTACCATTTATTTTTTCTTCCTCATTCTTCAGATTAACACAACTTTCCTAACAGGCTGTGAGGCGCAAGATAGGTATACAGTAAAACTGTGTTGTATGAATAAAAAACTGGAGTTTGGTCTTATCAGAAACCTGGGGCTACTGGTAGGTAATAGAGATCCTTGAAGGCGAGTAATATTATTTTTGGACACACACCAAAGCTGCGTCCACACTGATGAGATAATTAACATTTATTTCATGTGTGACAGGGATGACCTCATAATCATAAACAGCTTTTCTTTCTAGAAGGTAGATGCCTATTTTCTCAAAACGAATCAATTCTCTTAAAAATGAAACAATGTATTTCCTCAAGCTCCAGACAAAACACAGTGTACTGTTCAACACAGTGTAACTTGGAAATTCCATCATTGCCTAGAGAAAACAACCTCTAAAACATGCTTCACCAGAAGGCCAATTCATTTGTCCATGACAGTTCCTCATCCTGAGCTTTCATTCACTACCATTTAACAGCTCTTCTTTAAGCCTAGGTGAGCAGCACAGTTTTGGGTAACAATCATCAAGGGTCCAAGGACTCTTCTATCAAAAAGACACAAAAGCACCCTGCTACAATTATTACTAGCAATCACTAAACTTCATCATCAACGAATCGTCCAATGTATTCTACTTAACATTTGGCTTACTATCCAGACAGCTGTGTAGCTAAAACCAAGGGGGGTGGAAAGGAGCTGAAAATCCAAGAGGACAAAACGTGACTCTGAAACTCACTCGGAACTACTCTTCCGTCAACCCACTCCAGGTCCGTACACAGAGGGCGAGGCCATCGGCGCAGTCCCATTGCGCACGCGCCATTCCTCTCCCGCATGCGCACTAAGGCGCGGCCTAAAAAAATTTCCTTTCGGACGCGTTCTGCTGCCGGCTCCCCGTTTGTCCTCCTGCCTTCTTCGTTTTCCTAGTCTCTGCAGGTAGTATCCCAAGGATCGACTCTTTCTACCAAGCTTTCAGGGTCCCTGAGCACTCGGCCACTTACCTTAGCGGCGTTGTCACTTTCCCCTGCAGCCCCGCCCCCAGGACCCGTCAGAGCCGTCGTGTTAACTACGACGCTGGTGGCGGCGTACCCGCGACCGCGCGTAGGGGTCCCCCTCCCCCTCCCCGGCGGCTGCGGCGGCGTGTGCGCGCCCACGCCGTGGTGGGCGTGGTCAGAGCTGAGAGGCGTGTAGAGCGCTGTATCTGAGGAATTCCGGGTCCTTCCCCTCCTCGCGGTGAGGTGGTGTACCTGTGCAGTGGGGTGCCCTTCTCTCAACTCGCCTTGACGTGCTCGTGTTTTTGTTCGCCTTTTGGTTCAGGGCTTCCGATTCCCCTACATCAGTGCTTGCTTTCTGCTTTCTCTCCAAACCACCACGGAGCTGGATTGAGTTGGTTAGTCCTCCTTTCTCTCAGCCGTCACGTAGCCCCAGATGGTATAGAAAAGGCGAAGAAATTTGCTGTTCCTGAGACACTATCTCTCGTTTCCAGAGCTCGTGGCCTGAGGGCCCCACTATAACTTTGAAGGCAGCTTTTGTGGAGAGCCTTTTTTAAAATGAGGGTCCTGGGGAGATGGAGAGGAAGGTGCTGTGTCATTAAAGTATTGCTGATTGTACCTGCACTTCCTCCATTTGTCTATTTACCTCCCTTATTTATTTTTTTTCTTCACTTTTTTAAAGATTTATTTATTTGTACATACAGAACTGGGGTACAGATCAGAGGCTGTGAGAGGCTTCACCAGAGACAGAGCGGGAAGCAGAACAAGCAGATGGATGAAGTACACTGCTGAGGGGAGCAGTGGGTGGGTCAGGAGAGGTCTACTGTGCCATGTGGGTCAGCTCAGCTCTGGGACAGGCAGGGATCGAGCTCATGCGGAAGTGGCTCAAGCTTCTCAGTGCAGTGCTTTAACCCTCTGCGGGCCCTCTTCTTCACCTTTTAAGATTTATTTATTTATGCATGCAGGAGAGGGGTACAGGCCTGAGGTGTTGCTGCTGTGTGTGTGTGTGTGTGTGTGTGTGTGTGTG